TATTTCTTAAAGGATTAAGATAAGTGACGCGAGGGCGTATATCTGATGTATCTGCGTACAGTTTTAATAAATCTACATTGTATTGTACACTGAGAAAAATCGTTTGATTGTACCAACAGAACGTATATGATTGAAGACATTTTGATTAAATCAAACAAGAATTTCTAGTTATGATAAGACTCGATTTTTTATAACTAGAACGTTTAATAGATTTTACTATAAGGATTTGGTTAGTATTTTCTGGTTGGATCTATAAAATTTCTTGTTACATTAATTTTTTTGCTTGTTACTCTTAACTTAACTCGTATTCAATATTTGCCATAAAATGTATATAAAGAACTAGTATTAACATTAAATCCAAAGTATATTTTTTTTCTCCTACGAGCAGTAGTGCCAGAAAGAGAACGCTAGCTCTCTGATTGCGTGTGTTTGAGCTGCATCCTCTTCTTGCATCACTGTTTATCAGTTTAATTTCTAACAAACTGAACTTCAAATAATTTATTTGATAATCTGGATTGAATTTATGCAATAATCGTGTTGGAATTCAGAATATTAAACAGACTTTTGAGATTAAATGGAAAAAATTTTAGACGACTTGGTGCTGGTGAGTTTAGTATTATTAACCAGAAAATTTGATAAATTTAACAGGAAGAAATGAATCAGATTCATCTGGTAATTCCTACAAGAATTCTGGTTCGTCCATTTTCCAACAGACGTACTGGTTGAATCTACCAGAATTCTAATTAATGCAACCAGATTTTTTTCTGTATTTTCAGTGTATTATTTGCATTTTATAATCTTCTATCTCAGTTGCATTTCATTGATTGACGCTAAATAAATGCATGAACTTTGCACAGTCGTCAGCCTGTAATGAAACTGATCTCGTCCATCTCTCTTGGGAAGAGGCCCCTCACCTGTGTTCTCTCAGTCGACATGGATCTAATAATTTCAACCATGATATGTGTACAGTTTTCGCGGGCATATAAACGAGCTCGCGTGATGTACATGCAACTTATATGCTTCATGGGACGTTTTCGACGCAAGAGAGGACACACTCGAGAGTAAAAGGTCGAGGGGCGTTGTAAAAATATTTTTTTTCGAGAGCAATATTATCGGCGTATGCGTTTTGAAAAGTTTTCGAGCTTTTGTCGGAATTAATGTATTGGAAATATCACGGCGCTGAGCGCCGAAATGTCACTTCACCCTTACCGTGTGAAAATATATAGCCCATGTATGTATATACGTTTTTTTAAAGTGCGAAATGTCAAATGCGAAATGTCGAAAAAAGTATAGAGGTATGCACGGTACATGCATATTTCCGAACGAGCTATCTCCCGTCTCTGTTTTCCGTTTAATCGCCTTCCTCTCACGTTAGTATTGTTACAATGACAAGAAAATGTAAAAATGTATCGGATAAAATGTAAATTCACTTCGCACGTGCGCGTGCAAATTTTGCGCATGTTAATATTTGATGTTGAACGAGCCGTAACATTTTAGTGAAGCGTAAAATTATATTCCCATTAAACAAATTTATACTTTGAAATATTAATTATAGCGAGTTAATAGACCGCGATTGCATAACGTACGTGGCAACAAAGCAATTTTGAGTCAGAAATAATATTTTCCAATTGCTGAGAAACGTCGAAAGAATTATGCGAACAATTTGTTGTCGCAACGAATGCTAATAAATATAATCCGTTTTAAGTTCTCGCCCGTTGAATAAGTAACAAAAAGTTCAATTAAATATTTTTGCGATATCGCGCGACCAGTTATACATGACGTAACGCGTGTTCGTGAATTTAACAGCAGCTGCTATCGAAATGCGTTCCCTTTTTATGCATCTCCCACCCAATGCCGAGTGCGGCGCGGTTCTATCCGCGCTCCTTTTAGCTTCTTTTCTCGCGAAACCAGTGTAACCGGTTGAGCGTAAGGCCGGTAGGCAGCAAGCGCGCGTTCGTAAGTTCAATACAGCCCCTTGTACTTTTCTTTCGTTCGCGGAATTTCATTAAACGTTAACATCAATTACCTGGAACTTACTTCGGACGACGGACAATGAGAACGACGCTCGTATTCTCAGATATGTGCGCCTTGTTAAACTCTGAATTAAATCGATTATTTCAACGAAAGAAACCGAAATAGTGGACTTTTTTTTTAGAAGAATGTAGAAACTCTCTGATTTACACAAAGACGAGAAAATTTTATCGGAAAAAATGTGACATTTCATAATTCCGTTTCTCGATTAAAAAAAACATTTCGAAAAGAGACTATATTTAACGTATTCTCTTTGAAGTGACAGTTAATTAAAGCGCTTAGCTTCGCTGTACAACGAATATTAATGACAAATACGTAGCAAAGCCGTGATGTAGTCGCTTAATTATCAGGACGAGAGACATTTTACGGGAATTATATGCGCGTGACGAAACGGAGAAAAAATAATCCGTGTATCAATATTTATGGAAAAAATGAAAGCAAAAAAAACATCGCAAAATCTAATTTATTGCATTTAATTACTTTCGAAATGTCAGAGTTACTCGCTACACAAGCAGTCGTGTTAATTAAGGCCTTTGAAGCGACCACCAATAACAGAAAAAGTTGGAGATATTTACCAAAATGTCTTGTAGAGAGACCGGCATCACAGAGCAGGTTGACATATCCGCCGGACAAGAATGCTCTCCCTTTTGACACCCGATGCCTGGTCTCTGTGCCCGTCACGTGTTAGATAGAGCGAATGTTGATTTACGATATCAACGTTCAAAGGCAGCCTCAGAAAGGATACTCGGCGTGGAAAAGGACACACTTTGGTACATATATCGACGCGAATTTCATTCGATCGGAGCAATTTCTCGCCCGGCGAAGCAATTTCTCGCGCGAGCGATTAATCTCCTCGGGGAACCTTCTCAGCGAGGAAAAATCCCCGGCGGTAAAACACGGCGCGGTTATAAATCGAGAAACCGATATGATATATTCTGTTACACCGTATCAACGCGGTTATAACAAACGAGCGAAATCTCCACTCATTGTCGGTACAAAGCGGCGATGGGGCGATACCGCCGAGGAGATTAAAAGTCAGCCGCGAAACTCTCTGCTTTTCGCGCACACACTTTGAGTTTTTCCTCTCCGCGTCCGAGAATCGACCTGAATCTTTCGCGTAGATGAGAGAAAAAAAAAAGGAAATGTGAGTAAGTGACGGATCACACAGTTGGACTTACGGACGGTGATGGCAGACAGCGCTTGCAGTACTCAATGAACGAGAACAAAACCTCAGGCATGGAAGAAAGCCGGCCGTTGCGAGCGAATTTTAATTAGAGGATCGACCGGACCCTTTGGCTTTTCTCAGCGCGCGACAACACGAGTCGAGGATGCGTGTGGTCTCTTCGCAAGGCCTCCTCTCTATCGCGAGCATAGGAGGAGAAGAACCGGATTCACCTCGCCATCGCAGGAAGGTCGACTTGGTACTGATGCGTCTGGATTCCGCCGAAGACTCTCCCCCGACACGTATATTAAATTAAAAGCGCGAGGCATTGTATGTAGCCTTCTCTCGTTCGCTCTCTCTCTCTCTCTCTCTCTCTTTCTCTTTTTCTCGCCAACCCCCACCGGTAATCCAATATATCGCGATATCAGGTATCATTCTACGTGAACGATACACGCGGAAAGTGAAACAAACATATATCACGAGCGATGTGACGAGATTTCTTTATCTCCGAGTGACTATTTTTCGAGCGCGTCCACCGGTGCATTTTAATTTCCCTCCCTGGTATTTCCTATCGGCAAAAAGCGTTAAATGTCAAGAGTTGTTTCCGCGAGCAATGCGCTTCTTTTTACATATTTTTCGAACCTTTTGTGACATGAAACGTGACACACATGAGCGTGCATGATGGATTATGGTTGAATTTATTACAGGCTCAACGAAATGTATATTAAAGAATATGATGGATGCTAATAATTAATTTAGAAAAAAGGATAAGGGGAATAAGGGGAGAAAGAGAGAGAGGACGGAAAGTAAAAGCATTTTTATCGCATTTTTCACCGATCTTTCATCCCATCCAAAGTATCTCATCCAAGAACATTATTCGCCTAGATATGTCACCCTTGGTCATAAAATACACAGCCAGTCTATTTTCTACGTGCAGCGCGGATAAAAATAGGGGAAACGCCGCTTCGTCCGACGTAACCAGTTTCAAATTAGAAGCCGCCGTCGGAATCTTTTTCGTGCAGTTATGCCGTTCAACTATGCCGAAGTAGAGCGAAAGAGAGCGAGGAATACTCGTCGCGATATCGAAGTTGGCGGCGATGCTGGCCCGATGCCAGGATAAAACGGACGAGGAGCGAAATTCTCGGCGAATCCTGCGGCGAATCGCGAGAAAAACCTATTCAGATTTAGGAAAAAGACGCCGGAAACCGCTTAAATGCGAAAATACCATTCTCACCTTCTTGAAGCCGTGAAACGAGAATGCGCCTACATTCATCCGCATTTTATGATCCTCCACTTTCGCTCCGAGAACACTTTCCGATCCTCCGCGAACAACGATCACGTTCCTCAGATTCTTCGTACGTCAACTGCTTAATTAATAACGATACTTGTACCCGATTTTCAATTCCATAATTCCCGACCGCGAATTATCTCGTTAGAGAAAAGAGATCGAAATCAACTAGATCAGCATTTCCCAGTAAAATTTAGCCATAGGAGTTTATGGAATTTAATTGACAATCACGGGGCATGTACACCTTTGGAATATTAATCAATTATAATACTATTTTGTTTTGTCAAGTAAAAAAGCCATCGATTAAAAAAGTTACAAGCATTATATAATATCTTGAGAAAATGATCTTGAATCGAGCAAATAAATATAAGTTCTCTGTTAAATTGAGTATCACGAATGATACGATGATTAAATTAAATATCACGAAATGAACAAAGATAATAACCCGTAAATGTTCAAGATCCTTTTTTCTCATAGAATCCTTAAACGTCTACAGAGATCACTAAATTTCTATTCTAGTAGCACTGCCTGGGAAACACCGAACTAGACGAATAATCCATGCGAAACGAACGCCGAAAGTGGTCGACCGGTTCCTCGGCATCCGGCGGATGTGGAGGGAACGGGAACCCCGCCGATCGATTTTCGTGGGGCGTCTCACGAGGGTCTTTCGAGACGTCTTTCGGGCAGGATGGTCGGCCGGCCACTGATCGAGATGCGTGCAGGTCCGAATACCAGCGTGTGCGGGCATGATTGTAACGCGTGAGCGTGTGCGAGCGAGCGCGTGCGAGCGGGTGCGAGCGAATGCGTGCCGAACATTCGCGCTCTCATCCGGCGCATATTGTAATTTTTCATGAACATTGTCGCTGGAATGTTATTGTCCACGCTGAGAAAAAAAATCTGGTTGCATTAATTAGAATTCTGGTAGATTCGATCAATATGTCTGTTGGAAAATGGACGAACCAGAATTTTTGTAGGAATTACCATGAATCTGATTAATTTCTACTTGTTAAATTTACCAAATTTTCTGTTTAATACTAAACTCATCAGCATCAAGTCGTCTAAAATTTTTTCCATCTAATCTCAAAAGTCTGTTTAATATTCTGAATTCCAACACGATTATTGCATAAATTCAATCCAGATTATTGAATAAATTATTTTAAGTTCAGTTTGTTAGAAATTAAACTAATAAACAGTGATGCGAGAAGAGGATGCAGCTCAAACACACGCAGTCAGAGAGCTAGCGTCCTCTTTCTGGCATTACTGCTCGTAAGAGAAAAAAATATACTTTGGATTTAATGTTAATACTAATTCTTTATATACATTTCATGGCAAATATTGAATACGAGTTAAGTTAAGAGTGGCAAGCAAAAAAATTAATGTAACAAGAAATGTTATAGATCCAACCAGAAAATACTAACCAAATCTTTATAATAAAATCTATTAAACGTTCTAGTTATAAAAAGTCGAGTCTTATCATGATAATTGAAAATTCTTGTTTGATTTAACCAAAATGCCTTCAATCATCTCGTCTTGTCAATCAAACGTCTTGTTGATACAATCAAACGATTTTTCTCAGTGCGCCGTCGCAATTTCTGACATTTTTTATTATTACATTGTTCTTGACGAGGATTCTTCTAATCCTTCAATTCGTTCAAATTTTAATGCTTGTACTCGCGTTAGATAAATTTGTCAACGATTTCTTTTCTATTGAATTATTTAAACATCGCATTTTAATTTTTTAAGCAAATATTTATGTGAATCTTTTTTATAATATATTACGATAAATTTTGAAATGCGTTTCTTTTCAGAAATTCGTAGAGTCCTACTGAAGAAGATCGCTGTTGCTTCGTCAAACAAGATAATAGTGTTTGCACGGGGACGAGTATGTAGTACGTGTTTAAACATGGTAATAATGAATTTAAATGGATGTTAACGAAGAACGTCCGAAACTGCCGCGACCTGCAGCTGTACGATATATCTTTCATCTACAATGAAGCGCTCGGGAAGAGAGCATCGTTCAAGAACGCCCGCGCGATGATAATGTGCACCGTTTCCGCCGCATTGAACTTTAGCTTTTGTACAAAGAAGCGCTGCTAAAAATGCCGGATTATTCTCAAGCCACATTTAACATCAAACACAATGTTCTTTGAAAATTCTAAAGACTGGAAAAAATTTGCAGAGACCGAGTAGAATAATTCAATAATAAACTATGAGTTTTTCGTTAAATTATTAAATAAGGTTTCTTATTGTTAATTTTTGGGATGTTTAAATGTATCTGTTCTTCTCTTTTAACAAATTATAATTCTATTATGTGATAAACTGACATAAAAGAAATATTTTGCAAAATGTGATATGTATTGTAAAGATGTGTGACAAGTAAGACATTTATAATAATATTTGGATATAACATGAACAATAAAATAAATAACATATCTAAAATATCGTAATATACTGTTAAATATTATAAAATCATAAAATATAAAATTTAGAATTATAAAAAATTTATAATAATATATTTTATTTTTTATGAATATTAGATTTTCACAAATTGTATCCAATTAATGTAAATTTTTAATAACTGAATTAGAGTTATTCAGAAATGAATTATTAAAGAAATTACTGTACATATAATATAATGACTAAGATTGGCATAAAAAAAAGTTTTCCTCTTTTTAATTTATCATTCTAGCATGCGATTGATATCCTGTATCAAAAGTATATTCTCACTCTTCTATCAATAACATCATCGATCTAGTAAACTTTATTATTAGATTCTCCCGTATGAATGTACTCGTCGGGGCGCATACAACAATGGGGAAGAGATTATCGTGCATTGCACGTGTGCAGGGTAAAAGTGGCTCGTTAGCACATATTCTGTAATCCTCGGCATGAAGGGAGATCATCGAGCATTCACCAGGCAATTATCATTTTTATCGCAGTCGCAGATCGACATATTCACACGGTCCTCGTTGCGCTAGAAATATATTCTGCTGCGCGATAAATGCATTTTAAAAAATAACATCCGATGCTAGACCGCAACACGTGTCCACCTGAAAATGTCGGGCTTCGTGTAATCCTGTTTGTCTAATCTCCCTTCAACGTTCGTGTCCAAGACACGTGACCACGACTCGTCTTCTGCCAGAAATACGTCTCTATCATATGTGAGAATAATTCTTTTTGATCGACGATGGCATCGCGTCGTCACGTTCTGCGAGGCATATTTTACCGCGAATCATCGCGCAATAATTGATGACTCGCAAATCCATTAAAAGAGCATTACTCGGGAGAGAGTAATCATTTTTCGTAGTTTATCTTACCGAGTAAATTTATCGCGATACACGTACGATGAAAATTAATTATATTCAAAATCCAGATAATCCACATATAACACATAGATCGCTGACTTTTAAACTATCTCTTATATCGTCTATGGGAACTTTCATCCGCAAAAGTGGATGTCATTTGTCATTCCATAATTTTACGTTGATTAATTCGCATCTTCCGCGCGCGAGCGATTTCTCTCATGCAAGTATTAGCGTCGGGAATAAATCGCGACCGCCGCCGTATCTAATCCATCACCGTCTTCAACTGCGAACCGCGTTCGCGCGTGATGCAAAATGAACGGCACCGTTAACATACTCGGTGCGCTTCTTTGCGAAGCCGCCGCGCCGGCGACCGCAATTTGCGAAAGTCGCACTTCAGGGCACCTCCTTAGAACCTCCTCAAACCTAGCTCACGATCGTCGTTTCGCCGTTGTGAATCTATAGTGTCGCGCGACAATGACTCCGCTACGATTAATATTCATTAAGATCTATCTTAATAAGGACTTGATATCTGATCCGCGCTTCGCGAATACGTCGGAAAGTTATGAGACGCCTGAAATTAATGGAAGTTGCTCTTCACAGGCGCGCACTCGGCGCTTGTATCGCCTGTGCTTCTCTTGCAACACAGTGAGAATCCACCATGTAAACGCGCACGCACTACACCGCCAGATAAATATAACCGACGAGAGGCGAACTTTCGGGCCAAGGTCACAGTGCGGTTCCGACTCGTCCGGAGATAAATATTGTACCGTGAAAAATTGACGCTGCTCAACTTACGCTAACAATAATTGTACACTGAGAAAAATCGTTTGATTGTACCAACAAGACGTATATGATTGAAGGCATTTTGGTTAAATCAAACAAGAATTTCTAGTTATCATAAGAAGACTCGATTTTTTATAACTAGAACGTTTAATAGATTTTACTATAAAGATTTGGTTAGTATTTTCTGGTTGGATCTATCAAATTTCTTGTTACATTAATTTCTTTGCTTGCCACTCTTAACTTGACTCGTATTCAATATTTGCCTTGAAATGTATATAAAGAACTAGTATTAACATTAAATCCAAAGCATATTTTTTTTCTCCTACGAGCAGTAGTGCCAGAAAGAGAACGCTAGCTCTCTGATTGCGTGTGTTTGAGCTGCATCCTCTTCTTGCATCACTGTTTATCAGTTTAATTTCTAACAAACTGAATTTAAAATAATTTATTCAATAATCTGCATTGAATTTATCCAATAATCTTGGAATTCAGAATATTAAACAGACTTTTGAGATTAGATGGAAAAAATTTTAAACTTGATGCTGGCGAGTTTAGTTATTATTAACCAGAAAATTTGGTAAATTTAACAGGAAGAAATGAATCAGATGCATCTGGTAATTCCTACAAGAATTCTGGTTCGTCCATTTTCCAACAGACATACTGGGTGAATCTACCAGAATTCTAATTAATGCAACCGGATTTTTTTCTCAGTGTAATAATCAACCAAAGTAATATTTCAAAAGCGTTTCTCAAGGATACGTGTATAAATTTGGAGTTAACGTATCGATCGAATCGCGCGATCGACGATAGCAATTGCTTCAAAACCGTCTATTACAGAAGAAATTACAACGCAAAGTTGCATTTCTTTGTCTGTCTCGACGACTTTGTAGGGTCACGCGAGGCCACTGTCACGCACATCTTGCAAAACGACGGATGTAAATATTTTTTACGGGCGTCTCCCAGAGGAGACGACGACGGATCCGGCTAATTGGATGTTCCAAGGCGCGGAGCAGCGTTAATATAGTATGCCGACTAATTTATTGGAAGCTGGAAAATTGGCTCTGTCAGTCGCGGCGAAAAGATATCTATCGTAAGTGTAGTGTCCCGCGGGGAGAAACTGCAAAAAGAAAAAGGGTGGTAGAGTAACGATTCGGGAGAGAACTCGAGGAACTCGATTACTCCCATGTACAAGTAAAAAGGCTTTACCTTGGAAAAGGATTTCACATTATTACCTGTTTACTATAGCGTACGCTATATCGTATATGTTTTTAACGCGACCGCGTTTAATTAGGTCGACTCTAATAAAACGGACAAATGGTCCACGTGCGATGACCCTGCATCGCGCTATCGTGAACACTGAAATCGATAAGCAATGTTACAGTGCGCTATAAATAACTTTGTTATACCTCCTTATCGCCTCGTCGATTGATTCTCTTGCACTCGAAAAGTGGTCGGAAATTAAAATGTTTATTTCTCGAGCCGCGCGATTTACGCGGCTACGCATATAATTGCACGAATCGGCGCTAATTACGACGAGATGAGCTTAAATATTTTTGTCGCGAATCTCATTTTCCCCGTTTTAATACGTCGAATCACATAATCAGCCCCGATGCCGTTCTGCGAAATCTCTCAATCTATTTGTCCGTTTTCGCGAGACGCGAGATATGCAAATTGACCGGTACGCCACGTTTGAATATCAGTCAAAAGAGAAGCCCGTGCGAGCATGTTCATCCCCTCGAACGACCAAAGAAGACGATCCGGCTTAAGTCTTCGACCTGGGTGTATAAGCACGTGTTGTACTCGTTGCATTCGCGCGTCGATTCTTTTAAGCCTCGTTAAGACCCGACTTAAACTTTAATTGAAAGTCTGACCCTGGTAGCGGTCAACGGGCCTTTTTTTCTGCCGCGAACAGAGAGAAGACATTTCGCGACAGAACCTGTTCAAGAACGCGCAGATGCGATAAAGGTATTTCAATTTGAGAAAATTAACACACAAAGATACGCAAAATTGTCGGAATTCACGAATACGGCATCTTAATGCTAATTATCTCGAAGCAACGGCACATGACTTGGCATGCATGATTTAATCAATTGCACCATATCAAGCAACAATCGTAATTCCGTCCGCTGCATAACGATAAATTTGACCGTCTATTCTTATCTACGGCAAAATTTATAGCTACATTTCGTACATATTGTGGCGTGTGAGCAGGAAAAAAATAAAATCGCTATGAATATATCGCCGTGTGAGAGAGAAAGAGAGAGATTCGAAACGCGACAGAGACCGTCGTCCTAGTTACGTGGACCATATTATCGATCTGCTCACCCGGTACATGCCGAACCCTTCGTATAACTCCCCAACGTATGATTCCGGGGAGCATGTATATACCATGTATAGATGTATATATACGCGGCAACGTGCCTCCCATACGTGCATATGTACACACGCGAGATGCGCTCTCTCGCAGAGAGCGCATCTCTTCTCCTACTCGAGAATTCAATACCGAGCAAGCGAGTCGCGCGATGGCGGATACCCGGTCGATTGTGTTTCGAGAAGGAAAAGTCTCGCGCTCTTCTACGGAGGGTAGCTCTCCGGCTTACCGTGCACGATTCACATGCATAATCGAAGGGAAACGAACGTGTATGCATCGTTAATGCACGTGCGATGCGCGTTGGTTTGCTAATCATGGAGGCCGTATAGTGATTGAATGCACGCGCGAAACACGCGGTTATTTATTTAGCGTGATTTAAGGATGTTTTGTACCTATTTTCAAAATATTTAATGAAAATTGTACAGAATGTCCTTACATTGTTTAGAATCTTTAGTACAATTTTTAAATCGATTCACTGAAGTGTTCACGAGTTATAAGGATTTTAATTTGCACCGAATTAACATGTGTTCTTATGGGATACGTATAACCACGTCGATTCGAATGACAAAAACACATGGAAATAATATTCAGAATTTGTTTAAAATTTGCAAAAGTTTAGATACAGAGGAAATATTTGGTCAAATAATATTATACAAATACTAACTGATTAAAAAGATATTAAATATAATTAAATGAAGTTAGTTATGTATCTGTCACAAAGCGAAATTCTCTGCCAAAAGTTAATTATTTCGATTAATAAAATTCCGAATATTTCAGTAAAAATGCAATAAATATTAAAAAATATATCTCTGCACTGTAGCTAAAATCAAATTGTAATATTCCACACAATTTCTTACTCAAAATACATCAAAAGTGGATATTTGTCAATATTGATTTTCAGCTACTTTTTGCTGGGATTGTACATACAAAACATCCTTAA